ATGGGCAAACCACCTGTTCGGGTAAAAGAAGAGCCTGATACTAGGCGGCTAATGAAATGTGTGGAAGAAGGTAAAGCGCGGCGGAGCCGCGCAGTATCCTAGGAGGCGCAATGGCAATCAAAAAGAAAACGGTCGATCCTGGTCCATTCCGTTATAACCAAAGATTTTGGCCACATCCTAAAGTGCAGCAAGCTCTCCTTATGCAGTAATCACTCGAGATTGGATAATACCTTTGAATGCCTTAGTTTGCGGGAAGAATAAATGGTGTCCACCATAATTGCATATTCATAAAAGGCAAACTTATATAGATTCATGATGTATATCTATTTCGATGCCCCGATGGATATCTATTCAGGCGTACCATCTCAGTTACTCGGAACCACTTGATTGGGATTTGATGACAGAATACAAAGGCCCTCGTTATATAAAAAACCTTGAATACGAAATCAAGTAATGCTCTCTACTTGCATTAACCCATTTGGTATGATCTCCTTTCATGACTTATTTTGATATCGAATGAGCTTCACGTGTCCCAAAAGCACAGCCCATGCTTATAGAATATGTAGAGAGAGTCAAGCTCTGTGCCCCCCTCATTTGTGTGCCCTTCTTTCGAAGAAGGTGAAGAGAAGGGACACACCCATGAGGGGCGCAAGAGGTAGTTTCTCGTCCATACAATCTACTGGCCTGTTCGGCAGAGGAGTTCGATCACAGCTTGAATCAAATCTTTTCAGGACTACGTCTTCACGCAAAACTTAGCTCATTAATACAAAGAACTGAATCTTCAACTATTTGTTAAAAGTATTGCCAACAATAAATTTGATCTAATTGCTTTGAACCTTTATCGAAAATTGGTGTAGATTTCTAGCGTTCTGTTCTGTGCTAAAAGGAAGCTAGCACAGAGCAAATATTCACAGTTACTACTTGTTTTGTCACTTTTATTTTCCTCTGAGAAGTACATTTTTGTTCGCCTCGATGTAATAAGCTCCAACGGGAACGTTTAACTCTTCCTAAGTTACAAAAAGGGTAACCAGCTTGGAGAAACAAACAACAAAATTTATATGCTGTCAGTGTATGCAAGGATAGAGCTCTCAAATAGCTGATTGAGTTAATAGGTTTGCCCCAAAAACCAGAAGTTTTTTTCTAATCGCATCTAAATTCTTCCGAAGTTATTTCCGAGATCCGGGATTGTCTATGGAGGTGTTGTTAATAGTGTGATCCACAGTTGCTCTACCGGTCTCTCGGGACGTGGCCTAGAGAATCGCTAATTTGCTGGCCAGTTGGGCGACGTCGCACCGATAAATAACGACGATTTAGGCTGATATTGGTCGCAGATAGAACATGCTGACTACCAAAGATTAGGCCTTTGAGTGTCTACCGTGTTCTTGTACAACTGAAAATCACGATCGCTCCACTCTGAAAGGGTTGTGTAAATCAAGGAAATTCCGCTCCCGCTTGCGCGGCCCGACGAAACAGCAATTTGCGATCCTCTTGCCCGTCTCCCCTCGCTGTCGCTGTTGTCCAAAACGGTGAATGAAATTCATAATTATCATCACACTTCGCTATATGGATTCCCACCAAGTCGCAGTGTGGTTGGAGCTACACGCGGCATTTGCTCTGAGTTAGGTCCTGATGCTACCTTGTATAGTATGGCATTTGGAATGGCCCGATACTTTTGCATAAGTGATTTTTACTCGAGGGGAAAACCCTGCGTCCAGAGAGCGGCCATCTGCCTTGGATTTAGAGCTACTGTGTCTTTTGATCAAAACTAATTGGTAAACGAATCAACTCGCTGTCTAGTCCTGGCACTTGACTGTTCCAAAGCACGAAGGACAGAAGGGTCCCTCACTTCCTTCAAAAAGCTGTTGAAGTTCGTCAAAGTATCTCATCGAGTCGACCGGGTACTCAAAAGGGCATGCGGCGTTACTGCTCTAACTCTACTCGCTGCTCCGCCATAAAGACTGGTTAAACAACGACTGTGACTGTATAAGGATTAGGAGTCTCTGGGTAAACGACTCCCGGAGGCACCAGTGGCTAGATCCTCCAGGAAGGGCAGAAGCGGTCGTGTAGTCCATCAATAGAGTGGGAAGGTGATACTGGTTTGTGGTGAAGTATTCATTGTGTTCACCGCATGGAATTTCTTCCTCTAAACGCTGTGGTAACCAGCGAGTCCTCCTGTAATTGACTGCAAAGGGAGGATGGAAATCCCTATCATCTTGTCCTACAACCCAACAATGTTTGCCTACTCCGCTACAGCTCAGGGTCACATATTTGGAGAATGACAGTGCTCGAGAACTTGAAGCTTAGCTGCTCAATTCCACCACAATCTTCGTGTAGCCTTGACCTAGCTCTTTCTGACTGCCACATAAACTGACCCCTCAGCGGCCACCTTCTGAGTGAAAAATACGATTTTTAAAATCACCTCAAAAATGACCCCCTGCCATTGTGAACGATAAGATATGCAATGAAATAATTCACTTTCAGTTTCGTTTTGAGAACACTAATAGTAAGAGAAATAGCACTCATATGTGTGTGAAAATAGTCATTTTATGTGTTTCTAAACAGTCATTTTATGTGCATCTTTCCCCAGCAACCTTGCACTTCAATGAAATGGAGTTGGAAGCAGCTTAAAGAAAAATCGTACTGCGATGAAATGTAAAGGCGGAGCCAAAGTTATTATGGCCTAGTTAGTTTCAGCAAGTACAGCGTACCACTATTTTTGGTACGGGTACAACCATCTGTAGAGGACGTACCACGCACGAAAATGCATGGAAAGCTAGCTTGAGGTTTGGAGCGTATGGCTGACCACGTTCTCTCAGAGTTTAATATTAGCCTTATCTGCAAGTGCCGGAAGATGGCGGCCTTGCTTACCTTTGTGCATCCTTCAGGTATCTCCTCGGTGCGTTCAGTTCTTCGTGATTCTGGTATGCCTTTTACAATAGAGCAGTAACTTGGGTAGACGAAAAAGCACCTGAGGTGCGCGAAATGCTCACTGTTAGCCTGTTACCTTTTGTAGCCCTTGGTGCTTTCACATTTCTGAGAGTTGAAACTCAAAGGTGAAGCTTGTGCTGAGATATGGGTAAAACGCTTGATGACTTATGCAAGGATATTAGCCTGATTTCGTGGTTTTTCCCTAGTATGCAGCTCGCTGCCACTTCAGTGTGTAGCAGAAATAGACACAAAACATATAAGGTTGTTTATTATTCATTAGGACCACGATGTATGATTACTCTTGTCCCTAGAAAAGTACACTTGGCGAAGAGGAATTTGATGGGTTTTGCACCGACAGCCTGAAAAGTGAAGCGACTTTATGTTTTTCAACCAGAGTTGGACATAAATGAGAGCGTAACCTCATTTATTGTTTAGTCTTTTCCTCCTTCTACCGCCTTTTCGTATCGTGGCCCCTTATATTCGGCCATAAGATCCCAATCTGGCGGCGAGTCGTAGTTTAGGTAGTAAGCCTGAACAACAATGCATTGTATTTTTACCCGGCAATTCTGTCGACCGAGCAAGAAATAGTCGGATGAGTTGTCACGAGAATGGTGGTCGCTTAGATTAGCACATTTCCGGCAAGCGTGAGGTTCTGGTCAAAGGACTGCGGCCACACGCGTTTCTGCCCATAACTGGATGTTCGTGAAGTGGCGAAAAGCAGCTGTTATTGAAGCAAAGCATACAGACGATAAGCACTGACGCAATGGAACGGTGGCAGTATCTCCTACTCGAAAGCTTTATACACAAGTAGCGAGAGAAGCTATCGACCCACCTCCGCCCTCTTGAACACGGCACCCTCAATATTGCGTGAAAGAACATTGAGCAGGCGGCAAGCCAGCATAGCAAACAGTTCCATAAGCGAATACACTCACCTTGACAGCCGCCGCCAAATGTGCTGCTATATGGTCATAATCGGGTATTGAATTATAATGAAGTGTATCAATATAGTTAATAATGTTAGTCATGTACTCTTCCGGTGTGTTTTTCAAGAACTGCAAGATAAAATTGAAGGCCCACGTCTATACCAATAAATCTTACTATGAACGTCACAAGGTTAAAAGTTATTAGAGTTATAACCCCAAATCGATTCTGAGGGTATATGGCTTGATCAGAGTTCAATTAGCCAGTCCTACTCTATGAAAGTCAAACACCTATGTATACCTCTGGGAATTGCGCCGTATGAGATGCATTTTTCCAATTGCGACCAACTTTAACAGCACATGTCTTATGTTATCTTGTATGAGGACCGATTAACTCATCATCATAGCGGAACCAAAATAAAAAGTACGAGCATAAAACGTTTGACTTTGGTGAATGCCTACGGGGGGTTTGCCATGTGTTCTGTATTAATATTAATCAGTATTTCGATGGGATAAAAAGTAGCTCATTCCAGTACCCAAATGAGCACTGAAAAAGTACTGGCACATATATTGGCCCGTGTGAGATTTGAATTCGTCTAGTAAGGACAACGAGAAGTGCTACTAAGCGCTCTTACTGTTTGTTCCACATGCAGATCGTGCCGCTTGGGCAACCTAGACACCTTCGATTAGTCGATATATGGAAATTCCCAAATGCATACCTTCTTGAGGTTAGGCTTCAGTCGCACCTGCTTCTTCATATGCTTGATTTCATCTAGTTGATTGGGCTAAAATCTTGCGATGTTTTTATGTTGTTTCAAGTCAATCAATAAGTCGTGGAACATTTGCTTGTATCTATTATAGTAAGGTTAGAAAAGCCACTATAATTGCTTGCGAGGACACGCGAATAAGCGTCAAGTAGGGCAAGCTTGCTCTGCCAGCGGCTTTTAACTACGGAATTTTCTATATACTGTTCTGATAGAGATACTAACTTCTTGCATTATCCCTCTTAGCTCGACAAAATGGGCAAAGCAGTAACGGAGACGAAGGACAGCCGAGCAAGCAGGGTTTCGAAGTGG